AAATCACTACTAAAAATGGGTATCATGGACAGATTTTTCTAGCGGAAATTCTGTCAGAAAATCAGTGACGGATCTAAAAAAGTTAATTTTTGTTTGTTGACTTCTGTCACAAATTCCCCATAAATCCTCACTGAATTTTTTTTAATTAAAATTTTATTTTGATAACTTTCCCGACGAATCCTCGATGGATTTGTGACGGATATTTTACTTATTTATTAATTTAAAAAACTATCACAAATCCTCGAAAATCTGTCATAAAATTGGTCTAATTTTTTTAAATAAACTAATTAGTGTTAATTAATTATAGTTTCTGACAGATTACAATTTTTTATGGTTCTTATTTAAGAAAATAAAATCCGTAGGAGATATTTTGAGAAAAATATGTTTTTTTTCCTTCCAAAAAAGAATATTTTAGAGTAAATAAAAAATGCTTTAACATTTGCTTTCAATTTATTTTTTTATGGTTTTTATTTAAATTTGTCGGAAATATTTGAAGGGAAATGTTTTTCAAAAAGAATTTAAAATTTTCGATGGATTTCAATTTTTTATGGTTTTTATTTAAAAAATTAAAATTTCGTCAGAAATATTTTAAGAAAAATGTTTATTTTTTAATTTTTTTCTTCCCAAATTTTTCGTAAGTAAATAAAGAAAAAAAATTCAAAAAAAAGAATTTTAATAGATTTTAACGGGTATTATTGGGGTTTAATGAATCTTAATAGACTTTGATGGACGTCTATTGTTTTATTCGGTTCTACTAGGTTTAATTGTTTTTATTGTGCTTTAATGAATCTATTGGAAGTTATTCGGTTCAAATGAGCTTTAACGGCTATAGTTGGTTCAAATTTCGCTTTAATGAATTTTAGTGGACTTTAATGAATCTATTGGGTTTTAATGGGTATTATTGAGTTTTCATGGATCTTAGTAGCCTTATTCGGTGTAATTGGGGTTTTTTTTTGGAAAGGATTGATCTTGGCAAATATATTAAAGAACGGCAAAAAAATGTTACAAAGTTCTCAACCAAACACCAGCAGGCACAAAAAAAAACCATAAAACTTGGTGACAACCACCTACCACACAATTATCAACCAAAATAAACACAAACAAGTAGAGTAGTAAAGCATAGCAAGAAATATGCTCCACAACTGTCTTCAGACGAACCTCCAAATCCATAACTTGAACTTCCAATCAAAGTCCTTGCCGGATTCCATCTTTATCTATCATAGACGGTGCCACTTTCCTATTCTTCCATGCCAATCTCATAAGAACAACCCTTTTGATCTCTTTCACAATCTGCCCAATATTTCTCCTTTGATTAGCAAACAACCTCTGATTCCTTTCTTGCCATATATAGTAGATAGCCGCTGCCAAACTAAGTTTTTGCATTAGATTCCACTGTGCTTCACTACCATTTGAGATACCATTTAAAATGGTATTCTAAGAATCAACAACTCCATTCATACTCGACTGGTATACTCCAAACTTCCATAAAAAAAACCCACATTCAAAAAAAATGATTATGGGAGTCTATTCAAGTTTCACAAAAGAGAGCATTTTAAGTCAGGCGGGTCATGTTTCCAAGTAAGAATGCGATCCTGAGTTGGGAGGCGTTCCATACAAGCAAGCCACGTACCAAAAGCATGTTCCGGGATGTGCATAAGAACCAAACATGCTTATACCAAGGAACCCTGATTGAAACTCCCAACTAGACTCCTCCATACCTCTTTTACAGCAAAATCGACTGGTTTATTCAAATTGTTCCTCTATGCAATTGGGCTTTAATTAACGGGTACTATTTGGTCTTTAATGGATCTAAATGAGGTTTTACCGAGAGCAATATCCCTTGAAAATCCGATGGAAACTTGTTTTTCCGAGGGATATTGTTGTCGGAAAAACCCCATTTTTTAGTAGTGAATTGAATTTTTAAAAGATGGAGTTCTTAAATGATTTTTTGTTGTTCATGATCATGAGTAAGAAACGAACAATTGATTCTTTTTTTTAAGAGGATAGAAGAAGTAGTGAATGACCCATAATCACTCACATCCTATGCTAATCTTGTGAAAAATATGATTCGTATCCAAATAACCAATACGATGAAACTAGTCAAGTATGTATTAAATTTGGACCGGATCAATTTCATAAATTAAAGTATCCTTTTAGTCTTAATGGTCCTAACACAACATGGGAGCAAGTTTCTTTTATGTATAATATTTATCGTTATTATTAATTTTACACGACTGGACCCCTCGTCCAAAATTCCTAGCAACACCGTTTGATAAACTAGTTGATAAGGCCTTAATATCATATTAATTAGATCTTTAAAGTGTCAAAAGCTCATTTGGTCTTTTTCTCTATATATAGATAACAAAGCTAAACTATCAACTTAGGCTAAGAAAAAACCCCAAAAATTCGTACAATACAAAACCATAATGACTTCACTTAGATTATTTGCAAAGGCTTACGAGAGTTATATACCTTACATAGCAATGCTTCTAGTTGGAGTAATATATACAGGCATGGTGGCTTTATTATCCAAAGCTTCCGGAATGATTAATCCTTCCATATTTGTTCAGGATCACGATATGTTTGAATATGTACTATTACGCACTCAATCATACATCTGCAACATTTGTTGCTGCAACAACTAACCTGGTTCCGACTATTACCTTTGTGATAGTTCTTATTCTAAGGTACACATATATTATCCTTTTTAGCAATAAAAATATTTATCTTTTAAAGAATATATCATACTTGTTTGAAAAAAAAAATTACTTTAACATATAAATATATTAGATTTTTTTATTATTCATTGATATAACAATATTAGAAATACTTATAGACCACAATTTATCTATCTAACCTTTTAAAAAAACTTTAAAATATATGTATCTTTTTTGACAAAATAAAATAAGCTGTTACCTTATTTTTACAAATAAAATAGCTATCTCGAAAGTACTATATCATATTTATTTAAAACAAATTTTACTCTACAATATTTAATTTTCATGCAATTTAATAAGAAAAAGTTTAAAAAATTTAGTAAGTAGTTTTTTATTATTGATCAATACACCGACGCTCTATTTATATACAAGGACTAACAAATGAGCTAAACCTCCACGTGTACACTAAACTTTCAAAATAGACTACATAATAGATCAAGTAATCAACTAATTTCAACACCCCTCAAGTTGGAGGTTGCAATAACAAACCCAGCTTGCGTAACAAGGCTAAACGTCCAGACCCAGTAAGAGACTTAGTGAAGATGCCAACTAATAGAGAAGACGAGAGTGTAAAATTAAGAGCAATAATACCAGCCTGCAGTTGTTGAAACATAATAACAATCCAACTCGATATGTTTGGTCCATTCATGAAAAACGGGATTCTTCGCAATATGTATATGCGCCATATTATCACATTTGAAAGCGATAGGAGTAATATTGTCTACCCCTAAGTCTGCTAAGAAATGACTTCACCACACCAATTCACTGGTTATTCTCCTCATTAATCAAAACTCCGCTTCGATAGATGAAAAAAAAACAGTTAATTTCTTTTAGATTTTTAAGATATCGAACTACCTCCCAAAAGAACAAAATATCCACTAATAGACCATCGTGAGTATAGGCAAGATGCCAATCAGAATCACAAAAAAATTGTTCAATTCGAATGTGAAGTATTAACCCATAAAAGAAGAAGGCTCGAAGATATTCAGAATAATAATTGCAGCGTCCCAATGTGCTTTCTAGGGTTGTTAATTGAATTGACTAAAAAATTGGACACTATAAGCTATGTTTGAACGAGTATGAACCAAAAAGTTCAACTTTCCAACTAGGTATAGGTATCGATATGCAGTCAGTTCAAGCAAAGCAAAGAATTTGGGCATGTCAAGCAAAAGCTTAAGATTACTGGGGAAGGGTGAAACAACATTCCCAACATCAAAAACTTCATATTTTTCAAGTAAATCAATGAGATATTTCTTATGAGTCAAGAACATTCCTTGAAGAAACTCAAGACCAAAAAGATAATTGAGCTTACATAAATCCTTGATTTTAAAAGATTATGCAAATAGTGATTCAAATTAGTGATCTCTAAAGGAGTATCACCTATGACAATTACATCATGCACATGAACAACCACACTGATAGTGATGGATGAATTGGAAGTCTTTCTAAAGGAGCATCACCTATGACAATTACATCATCTTCTTAGCATGCTCAAACCCCTTCAATCACAAAGCATTGGCCAATTTCAAGTACCACTATCTAGAAACCTGTTTGAGACCATAAAGTGATTTAATAATCTCACTACAAGGGAAATAAGTTTTAGAGAAGGAATTTTTAGATATGCATCTAAATATACATTATAGAGAAGGATTTAGATGACGAAAATGAGAAGTGTAACTAAACGTATGATGATTTTTAGAGAAGAGTTTGAAAGATAATTATATGCTGTGAGAAATATTGTTAAAGACTTTAGAGAAGCATTCTACTAAAAACCTCTCCAAAAAGCCAACATCTATGATTTACTAACATTTTTTAAGCTTCACTAAAAGTAATTTTTTTATATTTTTTTAAAATTAGCAAAAAAGATTTAGTTACCTAAATCTTTTTTGTATCTAAAAAGTTTATTATACTACGTTAATAATCATTTAAACCAAAGTTTTAAGTATAAATTTTTAAACACAACCTACAACCATTTTATATAAGAATTTCAAAAATCTCTTATTTCAAAAAAAACTTCTGGGGCGAATATGAAATTTTGACATTGAACGCCTAATCGTAATTCTCCCTCTTCTTGGCAGATTGAAACCCTTATCGCTAATCGACCCCTCCTCGTCGTTGTTCACTCTCACCACGGAGTTCAGAGTTGTTAGTTGTTGTTGTGCGTTTCATCACGTTGGAGTTTGATTTTGTGCATCTCATTCACTGAAAGGTACATTGTTGGATTATGTGCCATTTTGCTGCAAGTTTTCATTGATTGATTTGGAATTTGGTTCTGTTCAAAGACTAAATTCGATTCGTCTGTTATCAAGAATAGAGTTGTTGGTGGGAGTTCAAGCAAGCATTCGGTTGATTCCAAGCATAAATTTTCGACCACAACCTCAACTAATGTTTCTAAAACTGAGGTAAATTCCTAAGTTTTATGTGATTTTTATCCAATTTTGATGATTTTTTGAATTGTATTGAGAACTACGTAATTTATTACCGAGTTATTTGGGCGTGAAATTGAAAATAATCGAACAATTTGCAGTCAATTAGATGATTCGTATAGTTTGTAGATTCATCCGAATTGCAATCTGAATCTGTTGTTTCAATCGATTGAAAATTAGTCTCTCTGTGCCCTAACCCCCAAATTTGATACCCCTTATCTCCCATATAAAGAAACTAAGGAACAAGAGGCCTTTGATGTGTTATGCCAAACAGATAAATTTATGAATTCCAGATTAATGGAAATTTCATTAATTGCAGTTAGATATATATATATGGAAGATTATAAGGATCATTCATTATGATCATGGCTTTAGATTAGGAAACAAAATGTAAACAAATTAGACTAGACTAGATGTATGGTGAAGATTGGTCCGTACGATTGTTAGAATTGGATGGTTTGTAAATGAATAGTCCTCCAAGGAACAAAATTAACAAGTACCAGAAGATTAGTGTCAAATTCATTTGAACATTTGTTTCAAGTTTGAAAAGTACTAGGTTTAATCATTGTAATTTTTTGAGTAATTCATTTCTATCTGTAGAATCCGAAACCATAGTGTTTCTAGTTTTGCATTTTAAGCTTGTCCATAGAGCTTTTTGGTTTGCTGAACCTGTATTTTGTCCACCAAGTTCATATTACAGAGATCTGCAGAGTCTAATAAATTACTGCATTCTGCCCTAGCTTATTATCTAATCTGACATTCAACATTAAGTCTAATAAATTACTGCATTTTGTCCATTAAGTCTAATAAATATGGAAGGATTTAAGGTAATGAACATAAAGAGGAAGAGGATGAGCAGAGGAAAGGAAATGGAATACCAAGAGCACAAGGCACAATATAGGTAACTACATTTACATGAAAAAGAGAAAGAATACCTAGCACAAACCAATGCACGTCAACCATGTCTACCAAGTTCTGCCATCGACTAATTGTTAAGTTATTTTAAAATCATTTGTTAAAGTTTATTTTTTTAATAAGTATCAACATGTCAGTCATAACCTCTGCCTCTAATATTGGTTGGTGCGTTGTTTTCCAGTTGGCAAACTCTGAAGAAGACATTGATGGGCAGTTTACTGGAAAGTGGTGGCACAATCTCATCACTCCATGTAGGAAGTAAAGCAAGATTGTAAGCTTTTTTGGTTGTGGAGTCATTTAGAATTCTCATGACCAAAAGGAATATTATGCAATAGTGTGTTGTATCCTGTATGAAGCAGATACATAACTCATTAGGTGTCACATTACTACAGTTGTTTGGGCTGTGTTATATTTATCTGCCTATCTCTTGTACTCACAGGCAAGCTTTCATTTGTGCAGTCTTTTGGTAAAAATCAAGTGTCCTTAGAGATTAATTTATAGAACGTTTGTCTTAATTATTACAATTGTTGTGCAAGTGTAACAGCACATGTTCGTCTTTCAAATGAGTTGTAAGATTGACCCAATGAAATTTCCAAACTCTTTCTAATGTCACTAAATATGAGTTATAGGATTTATTTTTATTTTTCTTGTCTAAAATACATAGACTTTCGAGACTGCAGCATTAATTCTCGATTATTAGAAGCTGCATTTTTTAACTATAGAATCTGCAATTATATTTTAGTAATCCCAATCTATGTTTTAGTTTAGCACTTTCTGTAATCCCAAACCCATCCGCATATGCTAATTCAGTTTGGCTCCAGAAGAAGACTCTAATAGCTTCGAATCAAGTGAAGACTTGTACAAAGCCATATGATTAAGTTGTTCAACATCATTCAATCAAACTAATGAACAATTATGTATATGTTGCAGGAGATGAAGAAGCTGAGAACTTGAGTGGTGCACTAAGAATTGAAACAGGAAGACATGCTCTGTGCTGTTTCAGAGATGAAGGATCAAGTCCTGGAGAACAATGGTAAATTTGAAATATCTGCTAATAAACATACTGTAGGATCGAGAGTCTTGTCCTGTAAGAGAGAGTAATGATCTTACCTGATAACTAGATAACTCTTACCCGATAAGTTAACCTTATAAGTTTCTTATGCCTATATGATGTTGGAAGCACTGCCTTTGTATATTTGTTTGTGTTGTTAATGCTCACCTTCAGTCGATGCACATTTTCAGGGGGTGTATTACTTCAGTAAAAAATATGAAGCCTTTCTCACTCTTTATCAGAAAGATGCCCCTTCCACTGCTATCTCACTCTTTATCCACCTCTAAAGATTTAGGGGCCGTTTACCAAATACTTACCCGGTAAGTGCTTACCGGTAAAATTTAACACTATTATTTTACTTTCCGGGTAAGATTTTAGTCCAATTGATTTGAGTATTTTTTTTTTAATCTTCCTAGAATCTAATGGTATATCTATCTTATTATTTAAGGAAGTACAAAGAAATTAGTGCTCCACGTGTTGAGGACTTATGTTTCATCACAGACGACACCTACACTAGACAAGAGGTACATTCACTTACTGCTACTACTACAGATTTACTTTAATACTTGTAGCATATGACAATATAAGCTTAGGTAGGTGTAGGTCTTGTAAATGAGGCAAGAGATTGTCACAATTGGCAACACTATTTTGCTCAACTGTTTCTTGTAATCCACTTAGCTACCTGCCAAAATCTCAATAATAAGGTTTATGTAAATGGTCTTGAATAATAAGTTTCTGGTGTTTAACGGCCTTACTTAGTTTTCTCAAACTATGGATATACAACCACTTTTGCTTCAATTAGTCCCTTCCTCAACTCAAAATTCAGATATTAATTGTAGCAAATGATCCCGTCTCGCTTGCATTTCATCTTGTTAAACTTTCCTGCCACATATGGCATTCTGAAAACCAATTTGTGTAAGTCTAAAGGCTAACGACTACCTTTTACTTATCAGGTACTGGACATGGAGCTTCAAGTTATGGACATATTGAGCTTTCATCTTTCTGTTCCAACTGTAAAAAAGTTCCTTAGGTAAAAAACAACACTTCCACTCTATGTTAGAAACATTCATCCAACTCTCAACCTTCTAATACGCAATGATCTACGATTTATTTTCAGGAGATTCATTTTAGCAGCACAAAGTTCTTATAAGGTACATTAATACAAAGTTTGTTCATCGCCTTTTTGATCATTACAACAAAATTCATTCTATGGATTCGTGACATAGCACCAACTCTTCATGCCGATTAAGCCACATTGAGATGTCTGCTAGACTTGCCTCAAAAGAATTCGAGCTTACTTCAACCAAATCTGGGCTCGTTCATATGAAGTATGAAATGTCTGAGCTGCATTAAATGGTGAGGTCGATTGTATTTGGCCAACCACTTTCGAGTATTTCAGCTTCACTAATTAAATGTTCAAGACTTTGGTTACAAGACTCGAGATCGTTATATATTCTATTATGATTTTGGATTTTTTTTGGATAAATTTGGATGGATGCATGAATTGAGATAGAACGTAAGGTTTGTTCTAAAAAATCTTGTATTTTATATGAAAATAAAAAATATATAAAATTTTATTGTTTCCGATTTTTATAAAGTTGGTTAATATTATGTTTTATTATTTTCATCTATTATAATATATATAATTATATGAATCTATAGATAATATATGAATGAATTTAATATATAGTATTAACGTTTTAGAGAAGAAAGTGATCTTCTAAAAGTGTATCTAAAAATAAGCTTTAAAGAAGATTTTGAATACTTGTATCTAAAGATAAGATTTAGAGAAGGTTTATAAAGTATAAGTAAATGATATCTTTAGAGAAGGTTTTGATAGAATGTAACTAAAGTCAATACTTTTAGAGAAGGTTTTTTTTGTAAACCTTCTCTAAAAGTACCTTTTAGAGACGCTCTTAAACCGTCACAATACTTTAAAATTAAATGCTTTTAGAGAAGATTTTGAAAGAAAATTGACTAACCTTTAGATAAGCTTTGAAAGTGTATCTAAAACCCCCAAAAAACATCTCTAAAAGCTAACAAAAATGCACCCTTGTGAAACCCTCTCTAAAACCTTTACGTAGAGAAGCTTTTTAACGAAAATGGAAAGCTTCTATAAAACCTTTAGAGAAAATTTTAAAACCATTAAGTACAAAACAAAAGCTTCTCATCTGAAGGTCATTTTTCTTATAGCGTCTTACAAACATAGTTTGGATAAGAACATACAATTTATTTGTTCTCTTCATATAAACCCCCTCATGTAAAAAGGCATTGTTAATGTCGAATTGATGCATATCCCACTTTTGTTTAACAACAAGGGCTAGTATGCAAAGTATAGTAGTGAATTTCACAACGGGAGAAAACATCTCATGATAATCTTCATCAGCACATTGTGTAAGACCTTGATCTACGAATCGTTCCTTATATCTTTCAACTAGCCATCTTTAGTAGACTTGGTTAAACCCACTTGCAGCCTATCGCATGTCTCTCCTAAGGTAATGGGACTAATCTCCATGTTTGATTATCTTCTAGAGCTACAAATATTTAGCCATCATATCGCTTCTAGCCAACAAGGAGTTTTGATAGTTTCTTCATAGTTTTTAGGTTCCACGACGGAAACTATATTGGCAATAAACATTGACTAGCACGTACTATCCAAAACAGTGAAACATAAATTCAAAGAATCAAAACACATGTTAGTCATTATATGAGGAAGTATAAGAAACATAATCTGGAAAATCAGAGTACTTAATTACAAACAAAATCATCCAACCAACCAGGTAGTTTGTGAACTCGTGTAGTCTTACGAGGAACCGAAGAATCATTAGCTTGACAATCACAAATTGAAAAAGAAATTTTTGAACTATAAGTGGAACTAGTATCATTTGACATAGAAAATTGCTCAAGCAATTTTTATCATTAATATAAAATGGTAAAGCTGGAATATTTCTATTTAAATAACAATTTCCGAAATGAAATGTATTAATTATAAAAGTAATATTTTTTCTCAAACCCCACCATTTTCGTCCTAAAAACCCATTAATCAGAACACCTATTTAACATGAAACTAATCAATACTCATACAAAATGCAAAAAAAAGGTTTAACATCCAAATACTAAAAACATAGATAAAACTCTATTATCCAAAAACACCAAAAGATTGAAAGGTTCCAATATACCAAAACCATAAATTATTGGTACACTCCATACCTAAAAACAAAACCGAAAACATGGATAATACACTATCAAAAAATAACACCTTTTGGTGACGAAGGAGATCCGCATCCATCGAATGTGGCGAACTCAAAGTAATTCATACATCAATAGTACCGACTTTCTCTAATGTCAATGGAATCTGTATACGAATCTACCGAGTACCTCATCAAAACCTAAGCTGCATATAACACTCCAACGACTACCAATGCAAGCCCAACTTGGTATACAACTCCAACAAGTACCACCGCGAGCATTAGGGTGACGATGATTCCTACTGGTCCTCTACATTAGCCTCTCCTACAAAAGTCAACAGTCTCTGTATACGACTCATACGAGTACCACCACAAGACCCTAGCTCCGTATACGATTCATATGAGTACCATCCCAGGTTTTCCCAATCATTGACTTGGTGACCACTCACTATAAATTATATTCGGAACATCAAAACATCTCACCTGAACAACAAACATCAACCCATTAACCTTGGAGTTTGACTCTATGCAAGTTTACTTCCGCAATACCAAATGGCATCGACAAGTCATAGGTCTTAGAGTCTGATTCTCCATGAGTCTATCTCTGCAATGCCCAAAATAACATCATACGATTCATATGTCTATGGATCCATTTCATCACAATCTAGATTACATGATTCCATTTGAATAACTACAGCACTCAAAACATGTAATTTTCAAATAAATATGCAATTAATAAATGCAAATATACCCAAAGCTCAACATTGAGCAATCTAAAGCTGACAAATGTTCTCAAAACTCATTTGGACCAATATTGAATCAATAAACACCCCAACTTATTTAACTACCCAATTAAAAGCCAACGTAAGTCAATAAATTGCACAAAATGCAATGTTCATTTTAAAGAGTTAAATCACACAAACCATTTATATAGTACGGTTTAAAACTTTTGTGGTATGGTTTAAGATTTGCATTTTCATCAAACTATAATTTACAATGCAGTTTGCGGTTTTGAATTATCAATTATATATATATATATATATGTATATATATAATCATTTATCAAGTAAAATAGTTAATAGGCTATTTATTATTTGTTAATTTTTTTTTAATTTATTTTGCTACACTCGACTTAAACATCCTATGAACTCATCCAATGGAAACTTGAGTTTTACATTACAGATTCCTTGTTTAACTATTGTTTTTTGTTTTTTTGTCAAACAATATAGTCGAATTTATTTTGTTGTTAACGTAATTTCTAGATATGTTAATTTGTATTAATCATTGGTCTCTTTAGTATGTGTTACGCTATTTTTAATTATGCATATTCCATCCATATTGGAACTTTTTTATTATAAGAAATATGGAAAAAAAAAAAAAAAAACTAATCATCTGAGTTTATTTTGAAGTTGTCATTTTATAATTATTGGATTGTAATGTATTACGCATTAATTATACCATATTTTGTGGTGCCGCACTTTTACGGTTTAAAACATATGTAGTGCGATTACAAAAAATCTTCAAACTGCATATGTAGATATGGTTTATGGTTTGACCTTAAACCACATCAAATCAAATCAAATCGCAATGCAAACACAGTTAGTATGGTGGTGACAAGAATGAATGATTATGGTAGAAAGTACATATATAAAAAGAATGAGTCTTTATGCACTAATATATATATATATATATATATATATATAATTAAATTCGTTAGTTTCTTGCATGCAAAATAGAATCAATTATTAATTTTATTTGAATACAATGAGTGGTTAGTTCTCAATAAAAACCAAATGCGATGGCTGAAAAGAGTTGGACCACTCTGTAAATTTCGTCAGCGTCTTAGTTTTAACAACTTGGAGTCTCTGAACCCTCATCTGTTTCTTTCGTCGTATTTTGTGGAGTCTCAAAACCTGAAAATTAATACCAAGAAAATTATATATTGACATTGTGATTTCTCAAACCATATTTGTTTGTAGCAAATAAAAACCATACTTTGTTGTTGCATGAAATCAATTTCACATACGAGACTTTGATTTGTTTAAGTATATATAGTTGTGATGGATCCAAAATCCATGACTCAATTGGTCAAAAACCCGATGACAGATCGGACCTTCAGGACTCTTGGAGGGCATTGATCGTGATCGCTACAAGGAAGGTAGTGTTACACTATACGACTCTAGCCCCAATGAGATGTTTGTAAAGAGGCTTAAGGGGATTCACCGTTGGAACTCACATTCTCTTTTCAATGGCTTTTTGGGAGAGTAATTCCGAGGTTTCATATATTCTCACATGCATGGTATTAGAGTTAAAGGTCTACCAACGCTCTAGGACATGTTAAAGTCCCATATTTGCTAACCATTCCGCGTCTATATATGTGGGACCTCATTAATTATCTTCTCAATGGCTTTTTTGAAAAGTAACCTATATAAGTAGGTTCCACATAAACTAACAAGTTCAGGATTCTTGAACCCTAACACCCTCCGATAATGCCTTCAAGTCTTTCAGAATTCGCTATATCTAATATGCATATATAGGGAGGTCCAAACAAGAACAAAGTAAAAGCATATATAGAGAGGTCCAAACAAGAACAAAGTAAAAGCATATATAGGGAGGTCCAAACAAGAACAAAGTAAAAATAAGAAAACACGCATGCATGAACGGTTAAATCACATTTGATTTTTCACTTAAATCACACACCATTACCAAACACGGTCAACGCAAAGGATGTGCCATTGACGACTTGACCAGCAACCAAGTTTGCACCGGGAAAAGACAGAATGCATGCGATTCTAATTAAAGAATCTTTAAGAAGATAAACTAATTAGCAGAGGTTAGCAACACGACAGACTACAAGAGACAATGGAATCTTGAATTCACATGCACACAAAACTGTTTGACTGATCAAGTTTTGGTCTACACCCTCCATTGACCCATCATCCCACATATGGCCCCCCCTTACAGCTAATCATCTCACATGCCACATCTATCTCTCTTTATATATGTATATCCACATGTATCATCATCACCATCTACATACATATACACATATGTTTCATCCACATGCAAAGCCTTTAATTTTCAATATATATATATATATATATATATAGATAGATATTTGGATCACGATAGGTGCTTACCGGTGGGAGAGGGAGAAGGAGGAGAAGGAAAGAGTTGCCTTGGGGGTGGCGTAGGATAGTCAGAAGGACCACTCTGGTGCGTAGCATAGTAGAGATACGACGAGTGGTGAATAGGTTGCGCTTGGGGTGTTAATGCTCCTCCTCTTCGTGTAGGTACTTGGGTAGGGGAATACCCATAGTAATATGGTGTGGGTCCATACATTTGATGATGATGGTATAGACGTTGCATTGCTGGATTGTACATAGCCTGCCAACACGTTGTTTACAATTTCATAAATATTCAATAATATAATAAGGGGGTGTTTGGGAAAGCGTTTCAAACGGACTTATTGACTTATACCGGTGCCAAACCGGTAATAAGTCATTTTGGAGTGTTTGGATAAAAAAAAAAAA